CCCAAAAGCAGGGTCCCTGCAGCACCCGCCCGCGCGCGCCCCGAGCAGATGAGCGTGCCTGGCCGTGCTCGCTGGTGCCGAGCTTCAGGTCGTAGCCGCCCTCAAACGGCGCCCCCTGGACGAGCCCGCTGATGCCCTTTGCCAGCCGCGTGGCGTAGCCCCAATAGAGGCCCGCTTCCTCCCGCGGAGCACTGGGCAGCACGACCTGCACGGGGCCGGGGAGGGAGGGGGGTGGGGGAGCGGCGGCAGCTTGGCGCGCCGGTGCCGTGCTGCAGGGAAGAGCAGATCGAAGGCATCAGTCTCATATCAGAGCCTGTATACATACCAACAAGCTGGAGACTTGTGCACAGAATTTTCAAGTCGGGGCGGCGTCCAGCACACACGCGCAGCACCATGCTGATGAGAGCAACGGCGCAGCACGACACGCCCCCAAGCGCAGCGCGAACCGCCCCCTAACACTTTCTTGTCCCCCTAGCGCTTGCAATGATCGCGCGCGGCGTCGCATCGCCCGCCGCACCTCCCCCAAGAGCATGCTCTCGCCGTAGCTCTCCACGAACTTGACCCGCGCGCTCTCCCCCAGCCGCAGCGTGACGCGCGCGTTGACGGTCAGCAGGCTCCCCTCCACCAGGGCTGTGCGGTCGAGCCCGACGTCCACAAACGACCCGGTGCCCGCCTCCGCCTTCAAGACCACGCCCTGTTGCATCGGATCGGTCAACAGATCTGAAATTGAATGATCTGATCAAGGCCTTGCTCCGGCAGCTTGTTTGATGGAAAAAGCCGGGGCTTGAGGGTGAAACAGGCCAGCGTGCGCACTCACAGTTTGCCTGCACAGATGACATGCACAGGCATGCCTGGTTCTAGGCACTGCGGAGGGCCCGGGTGCGGGGGCGGAAGGCGCTGGAGGAAGCGCGGCGCGCACCTCCCTGAAGGGCTGCCACTCGGTCGCGCGCAGGTGGTGGGGCGCGTCCAGCGGCGGCAGCAGGCCCTGGGCGGGCGGTTCAGCACAGGAGGCGGGGAGTCGCTCCACGCATGCCCGAGAGACCGCAGGCGCGACCAAAAATCGCGTGCGGGCAAGCGGGGCGGCCACGTGGCGCCGCGCGGCCGGTCCCCACATCGCATCGACTCGGCCGCCAGCAGCGGCCTTGAATTGCTGACTCACAAGTCCTTGCTGTCCTCAACACATGATGATTGCTCAATCTCACCGCAAGCCGCAGGTCGGGGTGCATTGGGATGAGGGCTTTCCGCAGGTACTGGGGTGTCTCCAGGTACTGGCACACGCGCGCCAGGAAAGCGGCCCCTGCGATTCGGGCGCAAAGTAGGCGGGCGCCCGTCACCCAGCCGCCGGGCTGCGAACGAGCCCCTGCAGCGCTAACGGGCGCCCGGCCGGCGGCGCGGCCGACGCCCCTGCCCATCGCCTGCGCGGCCAGCTTCCTGCCGCGCCACGCGCCTGCGCGGCCGCATGGACCACGTGCCGGCGCCGCGCATTTTGCATCGCTCACCGGCGCCGACGGTTCCGTCCTTTCGCTGCGGCGTGTCATCCACCACGACCAGCTCGTCCACATTGAATACGGCTGCAGTGCGCGCGACCTGCTCGGGCCCCGGCCATGGGAGCGGGCATGGGTTGCAACGAGGGCGAGCACGGGGTGGCGCAGGGGAGGCCCGGTGCTCGCCAGGCCGCACCTCTGAACGCAGGGGTACAACATGGGGCGCCCAGGATGCCAACAGGGTGTTTTCATTCCTCAACCCAGGTGCCACCCTGTTGGCATCCCCACTTCGGCGCTGCCGCTGCAGCGCCGCTGCGGTGCTCAGCGGAGGGCCCACCTGTCCGGCCACGAAGTTTGCCATTTCAAAGTTCTGGGTGTTGTCGATGATGGACCCCGGCACCGCCATCGTCACCGTGAACCGCCGCCCCGGGCCGCCCTTGGGCCGCCGCTGCTCGTCCTCGTCAGCGCTGGAGGGCGACGCCGGCTGCGGGGCGGCCTTGGCTTCTGCTGCTGGCTGCTGCTGCTGCTGCTTGCTAGATCCGTCGTGCTTCTGCTTTTTTTTGCTGGCTGCGGCGTCGGCGGGCTGCTGCTCAGCTGGTGCCGCTGCGGCTGGCTCCGCCTCCGCAGCAGCCTTGCGTTTCTTCCGCTTGTCGGTTTTAGATCCCATCTTGCCTAGGCCGGCTCGCCTCGCCGCGTGCGCTGGGCGGCGGCCGCAGTTCCTGCTGCAAACAAGCTGCCGCCGTGTCGATGCTGATGCCAACGCTGCTCAGACGGACGCTAGCACGGGCGCGGATGAATGTGCAGATCGGTGATAGTCCTGAGTTCCACAAGCGCTGTGTGACAAGCTGTTTGGCGGTGTCCGGTGCTGCGGCCAGTGCGAAGTGAGTGTACGGTAGAGTGGTCAGGCAAGGAACGGAAAGACCACAGCTATTTCGTGCAAAACAAACAATATATAGTCTATAGGAACAGGCTTGGCTCGCACAACGGCCTTTGATCTCTCGTGCCAGTGATCAGCCATCGCAGCTGTCTTGGCAGCAGGGACGACGGCAAGTATCAAGGCTACTGTCTCCTCTTCAACGGCAGGGAGTGCGGCAAGCTTTGCGGCGGCGCGTGACCTGCGCACCGGGTGCAGCAGCGGGAGAAGGCATCGCCTCATCACGCAGCACGTACCCAAACCCTGCAGTTGGTCCCAGCCTCGGGCCGCGTGTCCGTGCACCCAAAGCAGCAGCAGCAGCGGTGCAATAACTCAGCGGCCAGCGGACTGTATCGTCCCGCCGCGCCGCTGCGCGCTCATCGGGCGCGATGGTTGCCTCGGACGAGCTGCTACCTCAGGCCGTTCTGCGCTCCATAGGCGACAAGCTATATGAAAAGGTGACCAGGCCTACTCATCGCAATTATGATTGACGTGCTGAGGCCGGGCGGGGGCGTCTCACGCTGGTGGCAGTGGGCGAATGGCAGTGGCGTCCCAGAGCAGGCGGGAGCTGCGGGAGCCGCTGCGCGGACTGCGCCTGTCGCAGAAACGCGCCGCACCCATCGGGCTGGGCGTGCACGTGGGTCTTAACCTCAACAATCTGCTTTGCACTGCTGGTTTGGGGATAAGGTCTCACAGGAGCATGAGGCGGAGGCGGTGTGCTGTAGCTCGTGCGAGTGGCCCTTTCATCAGCACACATCCTCACATCGACTCTCTTGGAAGCAATGTTTTGTACGCCCGAGCCGCAGCAGCGGCAAGCTTGACATCCCGCCCCTGCACGCCTTGAACCGGCTGACGTTCGCAGCGCAAGGTGGCCGCTCTGGAAGTCGAGCAGGTGGTCAAGCGTCTGGCAGCTGCTGGGGAGCACCACAGGGTGCGGCTCATCATCGACAAGCTGATAGCAGAGTATGCCTTCAGCCCACAACCAAACCATCGCAAGGTGTGAACGAGTGTAAGTGCATGTGTCCCTTCGTATGTTTCTGTCTTTTATGTGTATGTATATACGTGTGTAAGTGTGCGGTCGAGCGTGCGCCCGCCCAAGCGTGAGCATGTGCCAGCACGCGGGCATGCGTACGCATGCGTTGGTGCGTGCAGCACCTGTCCGCGATCGCTCTGAAGCTGCGGCGCAGCCGCACCGTGCAGCGATGCGGAAGCCGCGCACCCAAGGCTATCACCCTCTCTGCTCACGCCCGATCACCGGCCCGCGGCGCTGTTTTCGTCGCTGACGCCCGCAGGGCGCGCTGCTGTGCCTGGCGGCGGCCACGGTCGGCCTGGGGGAGCCCAGTGAGGGCTACCTCCGCCAGATTGTACCGCCAGTGCTGGCCTCATTCACAGACCAGGACAGCAGGTGCGGGCTTGAGGCGGGCCGCGTTGGACAAACGACGCGCGGGTCGAGGATCCGCAGGGTGCCGAGGAGAGGGAGGGGCGTGGCAAGATGGTGGTGGACTGGCCTTGGTTGGGCGACAGGCAGTGGGCTTGGGTGAGGTCAGTCGGCCCCTGGATGCAAAATCCCCCCGGCGTGCGCTCCTCATCGTAGGCTGGCGCGTGCGTGCGCGTGCGCGCATGTGCACGCACGCGGCAGCACACGCGCCCACGTGCGCGTGCCTGGACTTGCACCCATGCGCGCGCCATGCGCACGCATCTGGACGAGCGCAGGGTGCGGTACTACGCGTGCGAGTCGCTGTACAACATTGCCAAGGTGTCGAGGGAGGGCTTTGTGGTGTTCTTCAGTGAGGCATTTGATGCCATGTTCAGGCTCTGCGCGGATAGGTGCGTGCGTAAGTGGGGGCGGGTGTGTGTGTGGTTGCAGGGGCGCTTGCGGGGGCGTGGCGCGGGCGCGTGCACTTGGTAGCGCGGCGCACGCGCCTGTGGTGCAGGGGCGGGTCGCTCGCTAGGGACTGGGGCGCGCCGCCCGGCCTGCTTTGCTGGGCCCGGATCGACGAGCCTTGGACGCGCCGCCCGGCGTGCGGCCGGCCGCCACGGGAGACGAAGTGCCCGCTCACCTCCCTGACGGAGGCGCTGACCCCTCTGCGGCCCGCCGGCCGCGCACCCGACGCGACCTGTGTTTGCTGCAGCGAGTCCAACGTCCAAAATGCGGTGACGTTCCTCGACAACCTCGTCAAGGTGCGCAGAAAACCTGCCGGTTGCAAAGCCTGCTCGTTACAAAGCCCGCTTGTTTGAAAGCCTGATTGTCTCAAAGCCTGCTTGTCTCAAAGCCTGCGAGTCTCAGAGCCTGCTTGTCTCAGAGCCTGCTTGTCTCAAAGCCTGCTTGTCTCAAAGCCTGCTTGTTTCGTAGCCAGCGCCGCACGCTGTGCTGTCCGCTGCGCCCCCAGCGCCGGCGACGCGGGCGCCTCGGGGCGGAGCCAGCGCCCGCCTCTGGAGAGAGCGCCTCGCATCCGCGAAACTCCCCTTCGTTTTCTGCCCCGCTCTGCGCTCGCGACCATCCCACCGACGGCCCTGCAATTAATTTTGTTTCTTGTGCCTGCAGGACATCGTGACGGCGAGCCCTCAGTTCAGCGTTGACGCGTTCATCCCAAAGCTGAGGGACTACATGCGCGTCACAAACCCCTACAAGTGAGGCGGCCATGCACGCGCCAGCCGCCAAGCAAGCCCCCCCCCCCGGGGCCCCACCCTTTCACCTCCCGCGGGCCTGAGCTCCACCTGTATGTATTCAGCATGGGTCCCACGAAGCGCTCGCCAGCCCTCACCCAGCGGCAATATAAAAATTGGTCGGCTCGGCAGCTGGGGGATATCTTGCATTCCCCAGCACGCGAGCATGCGCACTTGTGCACGAACACTCACACACACATACACACGCACACAAATACAAACGCAAACACACACACACACACACACACACACACACACACGCACACACACACACACACGCACACACACACACACACGCACATGCATTTGCACACACATGCATCCACACACACTCTACGGCTTCCACCCACCCGCGCCACGCACACACTCACAACCCCCCAACCGCCCTCCTCGCAACGCCCCAGGCGCCAGTTTCTCATCAGCTGGGTGGCTGTGCTTGAGAGCGTGCCCGACCTTGACCTGCTGGCCTACCTGCCTGAGCTGCTGGATGGCCTGCTCAACCTGCTGAGCGACCCCAACAGGTGGGGGCTTTTGGGGGGCGTGTGTGTTTTTGTGTGCGAGCATGGATGGGTGCGTGCGCTGTGTGAGACTGTATGTGCATATGTGTGTGTGTTTGGGGCAGTGTACGTGCATGTGTGCGTGTGAGACTTTGTATGTGTTTGTGTGTAGTATGTGTGCGTGTGTGAGAGAGCAAACGAGGGACGTAGCCAGAGAGAGGGAGAGGGGGAGGGAGGGAGGGAGGGAAGGAGAGAGAGAATGTGTGTGTGTGTATGCGTGTGGGAGAGGGTGTGTTGGTGCGTGCGTGCGTGCGTGCGTGCGTGCGTGCGCGTGTGCTAATCTAAACTCTGTTGGTGTCGCAGTCCGTCCTCGCTGGGTGGCATCGAAGTGGAGAAGGCGTGGGGGAGGCCCGCCCACCGCGCAGCCAGCAGCGGGCGCCGTTTCCCTCTGGCCCCTCCCTCTTTGCAAAAGCCCCCTCACCACATGCGTGCGCCCCCTCCCCTCCCCCCTGCGGTGGCCGCCTGCCCGACTTCCAGGGAGATCCGCGTGTCGGCCCAGAAGGTTCTGATGGAGTTTCTGGTGGAGATCCAGGTCTCACGGACTGTGGACTGGGTGGCGCTGTCCGCCATCCTGGTGGACAAGGCCGGCAGCCAGGCGGGTGCTGTTCATGTTTTTGAGGGGGGGAGGGTCGAGAGGCAGGGCGGAGAAGGGCCCGCCCAGCCTTGGGACGAGGTGTTGCGCGGAGGTCGGTGGTCTGGCAGCTATCGGGCGGCGTAGGGGCGGGCCCCCTGGGCGCGCGTGTGGCTTCGGGCTGCTCGGGGCAGCCAGTGGGGCGCCATGGCCTTATGTGCAGCATGCGCCAGACATTACGATGACGTTACAGTGACATCACGCACTCAAAGCAACACACGCACATGCACACGCACGCACACGCACACACACGCACACAGAGCACATGCGCATCACCTCCCGCCCGCCCTAGGGCTCGCCCTCCCCACCCTCGCACCCTCATCCCCACACCGTCCGGCCCCGCGCCCGTCGACCTGGCGCCCCCAGGACAACTTCACGCACCC